AGGCTTGCGGCGCCTCGCGTCGCGGAGCGGCTTTTTAAAATGTATTTTTATTATATTTTTACATAAATGAGCCACGGGCCGTGTCAAATCTCTTGGCGGGCCGGTTCCGGCCCGCGGGCCGTATGAATGACACCCCTGCCGTATGCTGTTGACAAAAAATAATTATTCCATGATCACATTAAAACATTACAGACACATTTGTTATTCCATTCTCCGTTCAGCATTCCTCATTTCACTCCTCATTTCACACCACACTCATATCACAGTCACATCACAGGCCGATTCCCCACGTTAGTATTTTGGTCCAGTTTGTTAAGGTCAACGTAGTGTACTTTGACATGACGCACAGACATATAACATACAGAAAACATATAACACACACAAACATATAACACACACAGAAGGCCTGTAATTTTAACTTTGTTATATTTTTCCATGTCCAATTCCAATTGTCTCATGAGCTATTTCTATTGTTGCAACTTTCAGAGCCTGCAGAGCTTTAAAAGAGTTTTCCTAAAAGGATCCATTTCCAACTTTAGTGTTTACCACGTGGTCTATACTTCGGGCTTATCACAGATTGTGTCCCCTATATCTCTAATGAGCTCTTGTCACCTTAAAAATGTTTATGTTCCTTATTTTTTCTTTTTCAATAAAGCCAGGTCGGATTCATTAAAAATGTAAATTAGTCTCAAACTTTAATACTTCACCTTTGTTTCACAATAAAATGTTTTTGTTGCTCATTAAGTAGCACAGATAGTGGTGCCTATCTCAATAAACGTACTCCGTTAGCCTATCTTCACTACACTGCATGAATTTTCAAACTCCAAGTTATTGTCTGGGAACGACCGGAGAGAGCAGGTTAGGTCGTTCGCGTGGTTGACCTCCAAATTTTGTGCGGGCGTCACTCTATCCACTTGTTGTGGCTAATAACTTAGCAATCTCAGGGTTTGGTGTCAATTTCCAGTGGTAGTTAACTTTTGGGACCGGTGCCTCCTTGTGCATGCCGGTGAAACATGGAGCATTTGCTAGGTCACTAGCGTGTACCACCCGTAGGCCGCTTGGTGTTGAGAGCAGATTTAAATTGAGTCTGCACATAAGGTCTCGGCCTAGTAGATTAACCGGGCACAATGGGGAATATAGAAAAGAATGTTTAAGCTGGTTTCCCTGAGAATCAAAACACGTTAGCGGTGACGTAAATTGCTCTTTAGTCGTCTCTCCCGACGCTGCTAATTAGAATATGAAGCGGCCACTCATTTTAGGGGAGACAGAAAGGCTGTCACTTTTTAGCACAGAATTTGTTGCCCCGGAGTCATCCAGAATTTTAACTTGTACACCACAGATTGTTAGCGTATATTACGGGAATTCAGCATGAATTATCTCTAAAAAGTGCCAATTGCAATTTGTTGTTGTTCAAACTTACATGAGCGGTCGCTTTGGTGACGAATGTGAACCCGGGTTTGGTCAGTCGCTCGTGTTTCCTCCACGCCCGCCTCTGCCGTCCTCTGGCCCCGTGTTAGCCTCTGCCTTTAACGCCTCCTCCGGTAACAGTCCTTCGACCCATGTCGAGCACACAGTCTTTCCGCCGGGCTGTGGAAGTTTCTCAAAGTCCGCAGGAGGCCCAGGTAGCCCAAAGCGTTAGCCTGTGGTCCATGAGGGTTGGTGAATAACCAAACGTGCCGGTACTTTTGGCTTCTTCTGTTTGCGGTGCGGGGGCAACTTTCAACGAGGTTTCAGCGGGTGCGTTTTGTGTTTCACGCTGTCGCCTCCGTGGAGAACAGTCACGGGATTTGGAGCAGTTTGTCTCTGGCCTCCAAAGCAGTTGTCGGTGTCTCACATATCTGCTTCCCCCGCTTCTTCTTCTGCGGTTTCCTGAGCGTGTATCTGCTTCCGCCACGTCTTCTTCTGCTCCCGGGTTTGGGCCCACTTCTCGCGGGGTCTCAGCTGGTGCGAGCGCCGCCTGTGGTTGGGGCGTGGGGCTGGTGCTGGGGCTTTGAGGCAGAGGACAGAGCGCGGAGGAAAAGCGCCGACAGACCTGGACAGGGAGAGGAAAAAGGGACAACAGTAGTCTGCTCATTTTTTTTTTTTAAAACCCAACGCCTTGTTTGGGTGCACACTTATTGTTAGTAGGGGAAAAAGGGCGGTAGGGTGGGGGTGTGTGGGATGTGTGTGTGTGTGTGTGTGTGTCCGCCTGTGTGTTCTCCGCTTCGGTGAAAAGCGGAGGAGCTATTGTTTTTACATATTTCTTTCTCTAACGTCTTTTGCCATGATATTCTTAAAACCAAGTAATATTTTTTTTTTTCCTTTCTTCTTCTAAATTATCACGCAAGATGCGTAATTGATTCAGAGACATAGAGCCTCCATAGCTTTAGATCCGAATCGTTTTTCCATGGCCATTGTAACGGGGGACGTTAACCTTCCCCTCGGTGTGGCATCTCTAGATTGATTTTCCCATTTTCTCGTACAGAACAATGGGCCTAACCCGCTTAGTCTCTCCCTGCTCTTACCCACTTTGGGGCGCTCCGTTCCCCCCTCGCTGGTTCAACCAGCGAGCGCGCGTTCTTGAAAACGGAGCGGTTCTGGCTGAAGACACTCAGAGATTCCAGGGTCGCTTACAGAGCGATACTAACGCGCAGCCGCTAGCTTCAATCTAGAACAAAATACCCCCAAAAATCCCGCACACAGTCTATGCTGTGGCAATGAATGAAATACCCCAAAAATACATAAATAAACAAATCCCTGTGTACACTTAAGTGCTCGTTACGCAGATGAAAAGACAAAACTCACCAAGTTAGGTTCTTTTTGGTCTTGTGTGGCCAAAGAATCCTTCCACGCGCCGGACGAGCGCGCCCTCCTTTGTCTCCAAATAGAACAGAGGCTGGTGTTGTTTCCAGGTCGGCCAAACGCGGGCGCTCGTCCCCGCCGAAAGGATCCATGCCAAGACATGTCAGCAACGCCAAATTGTTAAGGAAGTTTCTATCCAATGAAGGAGAAAACCCAAAAGTATTTGTCTTAAATCAGGAGCGTAAGTTTATTGTAACACACGTGCGGAGAGCTAGCATATCCAAAAGGCAGCATACCCAGCTCTGGCTCGCAGAGCTCAGGCTTCCTGTTTACATAGAAAGACCGTCACGCCCACAACAGATGGGAGGGGGCCACCGGTAAAGGAGGCGCATAGGGAGCGCAGGCGCCATGCCCCTGTGGTGAGGCAATCAGACACAGGGCATGGAGGTGCGAACAGACAGACAATGGTAGAAATGCAAGCATACAGATGCGAGATGCGAAAGACACAAGGGTGTGACAGACAGCAGGGACCTTCACAAAGCTCAGCATGGCGTCAGAAGGTCGTCTCTGCATTGAAAAGGCCTTTTACGTCCGTGTATTAGCTGCGGCTGGTTTTAATGTGATTACTCTAAAAACTGTCATTACAGTAGCAGCGACTCTATTCTAAGCTCCTCGACCTCTCTCTCTTTTTAATAAACATCCATCCATCCATTTTCTACCCTTTAATCCATTTCTGGGTCAGGGGGGTGGCAGTCAGAGATGCCACCCAAGTCTCATAGCACCAGCCCCTCACTGACCCTCTGCAGGTGGTGAGTGTGAGCTCTCCGAGTGTGAGCATAGACTTGATCTTTCAGTGGGGGCTTCGGGCAAAGTGGGGTTAAGTGTCTTGCCCAAGGACACAACGACAGCAGTCATCAGTGGGAGTGGGACACTGTAATAATAATCATAAAGGTTTTTAATGTCTTTGCTTTGCTCATTTGTCCAGCAGAGGGTGACAAACAAACACATTCTCCCTCTGCAGACTTTAGCCCGTATTGACTATAGATACCTTTGAGATATTTAGATTTAATTAGGAAAGAAATGTAGAAAACATTATTAACCATACATGCATTTCTGTGGTTACAATGTGAAACAAACAAACAAACAAAAACAACAATAACAATAATAAAAACTTTTTAGAACATTGTGAGAAAGTTGTTCCTACCCTGGATTTTTCTGACCCGATAATTGAAGAATGGCCGTAAATCTCTGATGAATCGTGGGAACAAACCCAATGTTAAATGTGTGTAAAGTTTGTGGCTTTCTGCTCAAAACTTTTCTGAATTTCTCGCTGTCAGTTCGAGCCTCGAGGCAAAAGCCACATTTCCTGTTGAGAAGGAAACACTTGAGAGCAGCGAGGGAAAGCACAGCTAATAAGGCCAAGTTATTATTATCATTATTGTTAGCATTAGCATTAGCCTTAGCATTGTTATATTATTACTGTAAGTTAAGACTTTACGCTGGCAGATATGAAGCTGAAGTTTTGCTTCAGGGAGTTTTGAGGAGACTACTTTTAGCGTTATGTTTGTTGGTGTTATATTGAGATACACAAATCCATTCAAGTCTTTTTTGTAACATATTTAATAGATACCAGAGAGAGACCAGAGAGCGAGAGAGAGACCACGGAGAGACCAGAGAGAGAGACCAGAGAGAGACCAGAGAGAGACCAGAGAGAGACCAGAGAGCGAGAGAGAGACCACGGAGAGACCAGAGAGAGAGACCAGAGAGAGACCAGAGAGAGACCAGAGAGAGACCAGAGAGAGACCAGAGAGAGAGACCAGAGAGAGACTAGAGAGAGACCAGAGAGAGAGACCAGAGAGAGAGACCAGAGAGAGACCAGAGAGAGAGACCGGAGAGAGATTAGAGGGAGACCAGAGAGGGGGATACCAGAGAGAGACCAGAGAGAGAGACCAGAGAGAGACCAGAGAGAGAGATCAGAGAGAGAGACCGGAGAGAGGGGCCACAGAGAGAGAAGTTTTTACTGTACTTGCCGGAGCATGAGGTGCAAACCACTCAGAAAGGCCCTGTTCCGATCAAGATTCAAACCCAGATCTCTCTTGTGGAGAAGCGAGAGCGCACTGTCTATTGATATTAATTAATAGGTAAAAAGAAAAGCTCTTGAAAACTTGTATTTCTCTGACATTTTTATAATTAGATAAAACAAATGTCTCTGTTTGCAGTTTGCACAAGCCGCCTGCGGTAAAGTGTCCGTCATGTTGAACGGATCCATCGCCGCCCCCTTCAGTCCCGGCAGGTACAGAACCATCAACCACCTCTGAAATGACACTACACAATACCATTAAAACATATGGTAACATGTTAGCTTGGCGCCCATTAATTAACAGCTAATTAAGTGCTAATTAACATAGGAAAGCTTCAGTCAGTAGTTAGTTAGATGTTGAATGAAGTCATGTAGAATAAGGACCAATAATTTCTTAATAGATACCAATTAATAGTAAATATAATCATAAATGATACACTTAATTAGCTGCGACTTAGTGAGGGCTAAGCTAACGCGTGGAGGGACCTTAACCCAGGGGTGATGTGCTCTCTTCTGTTAAAACCAATGAGATGTATCAATTATATTTACTTTCTTTCAGTATATTTGCAAGTGTTGAGGTCAAGAATTTCAACCCGGCCAAAATGGAGAAGCTGGAGGTTGTCCTGGTCACGCAAGAGACAATGTAAGCTGTTGTTTTTGCACGGAAATTAATCAAAAATGTTTTTTCTATGTATTTTTTTATGACAGTAATGTTTTAAACGTCCTCAGATCAAACTGCTCGAGTACGTCTTTAAAAAACCTGCAGAAAGAGCTGCCCCAAGGCATCGCTTTTGGCTGCACAGAGGTTCCAGAGTAAGTAAAACATGGGCTAAAATAAAATATTTTGTGCTGCGGACTTGATTGTCTTCGAAAAAAAAATATTTCAAAAGATGTCATAGTTGCAGAATACAATAAAATGGACACAGCTCTATCCACTGTTTATGTTTATGTGAACAGCAGAAAGACGAATGCACAAAACACACTGGGCTTGGTTTACGTGATTAGGGCCGTTGTCAGAGCAGAGTTTGTGGAATTATTATTTTGTCTCTGTCCATTTTAAAAACGGAATGAGTTTTTTAAATTTAAATAAAGTGATTTTCACACAAACAGAAGCTGAATTAGTTGTGAAGTAACGTTAGTGGATCTGAAATGTGTTTAAGTCCTGTGTCTTTCTGCAGGTCACGGATCGAGGACTGTGCCTCGCAGCCGGACCTGCCCTGTGGCTCGTGTTGGTGATGTGGCCAAAGACGTGACTGTTGGTTCAAACATGTCATAATGATAATACGTCTTTATTTGTATAGAACATTCCCAAAACATTGTTTACAGACGGCTTCACGGTCAATAAAAATGGTCATTATAATTAGGGCTGGGACTCTAACGCGTCAAATAAAATTAATTAACGCCACAAAAATTAGCGCGTTAAAAAAATGTACGCATTTTAATCGAGTGTGTTTTTGTACCGCGGATTGTTCCTCACGGGATGAGTTTCAGACGGACCGATTATACTGGTGCACCAACTGGAGCTCCGTGACTTTTTTGTTCAAAAGTACATTTTAACAAGCACAGACCAACTTTAGCTGTGTCTAAATCTGAGTGAGTTAGAGACGGGAAAGAGCGCTGTGTGTGGAGCATGGACTCTGTGTGTGAGGAGGTGAAGGAGGAGGAGGAGGAGGAGGAGGAGGAGGAGGAGGAGGAGGAGGTGAAGGAGGAGGAGGAGGAGGAGGAGGAGGAGGAGGAGGAGGAGGAGGAGGAGGAGGAGGTGAAGGAGGAGGAGGAGGCGGAGGTGAAGGAGGAGGAGGAGGAGCAGGAGGAGGAGGTGAAGGAGGAGGAGGAGGAGCAGCGAGACACAGGTGTGAACTGCTATTGCTGATGTTTAGTCCAAATGCACACATCAAAAACTTATTATAAAAGCTTTAGCAAACAGCGCATGTCCAGCTTTAGTGCTCACTGTGAGTGCAGAGGATTTTGGGCATACAAAGTGTATTTTGTCGTCAAAGAGTGTGGAGGCGATGACAGATACATTACAGGATGGAAAGAAGTCCGTCTGATCCCCGAAGATCTGGGGGCTCATAGGAGGTTAAAAGTAAACTTAAACCTAAAAGAGCTTTATGAGTATCAGTAAAATATTAAAGGAAGATTTAAAAACGCACAAGGAGACAGTTTAGGGACTCTAAAACAGGGGTGATGTGCTCCCTTCTGTTAAAACTGCGGGACATATTGGTTTTAATTGCTGTTATCAAGAAACTAAAACATACATTCATCACTAACAACTCAAGGATTTCTTTTATTTTAGACTTTTTCTACATTCTCACCATGAACTGACATTGCACCACACGCAAACAAGTGGATTCTTCATCAATAATGTGAATTTATGTTTCTGTTTTTAGTACGGGTAAAACGGGAAGTGTTTTGAGATGTATTTTTAACGTGTGAAATTCAGTCTGCTGCTGTATGTTTTTACTGTCATTATCAAAATACCACATTTACGGAATATATTTTAATAAATATACACATGGAGACAAATGTGTTTTCATTGTGGGGGACTCGCTATTTACCTTCGCCGAGGGGTCATGTATTCACCAGGTTTGTTTGTACTCTTTCTGTTAGCAACATAAGTCAAAACGTTTATGACCTTTTCAGGAAAACCTCAGAAATGGGACAAGGATTGAAATCAGATTTTGGAGATGGTTACTATTATTAGAAAGAATATAACTGGGTTTCTTGATGATCTGCACTTATTTTGAAACTTTAAATTATTACTATATTAAAATCAGTCTTTGGGGTCTCGCAATTCCTTTCTTTTTCCCTGCCTGAAAAGCTTTGGATCCAGTTTGTTTTTCTATAACAGTATAAAAAGATAGATATATGTATCTATCTGGTCTCTCCAACTTGTCTCTCTCTGATCTCTCTTTTGTGTCTTTTTCTTTTCTTTCTGCAAATATGTCGAAAAATAAATGTCCATCCATCCATCCATTTTCTTCCGCTTCATCCGTTGCCGGGTCGCGGGGGCAGCAGCTAAGAGAGGCAGCAGAGACGCCCAGACTTCCCTATCCACACACACTTCCTCCAGCTCGTCCGGGGGGACCCCAAGGCGTTCCCAGGCCAGCTGAGAGACATAGTCCCTCCAGCGTGTCCTTGGTCTTCCCCGGGGCCTCCTCCCGGGTGGGACATGCCCGGAACACCTCCCCAGGGAGGCGTCCAGAAGGCATCCGGAACAGATGCCTGAGCCACCTCAACTGGTTCCTTGGTACCCAAAGCTCATGACCATAGGTGAGGGAGGGAAAGAAGACTGACTGGTAAATCGAGAGCTTTACCTTTCGGCTCAGCTCCCTCTTCACCACAACGGCCCCATACAGCTCTGACTGCAGACGCTGCTCCCTCTTCACCACGACGGTCCGATACAGCGACCGCATCACTGCGCACGCTGCACCGATCCGCCTGTCAATCTCACGCTCCATCCTTCCCTCACTCGTGAACAAGACCCTGAGATACTTGAACTCCTCCACTTGAGGAAGGACAGTCCTACAACATCTAGAGACTTAAGATAGTCAGGACGGATCTCATCCACTCCCGACGTTTTGCCACCAAGGGGGCTGCCAACTACCTTGGTGACTTCAGCCAGGGAGATTGAAGTATTCACCCCAACACAAGACGTGACGTGGGGATTGAGGAAAACCTCAAAGTATTCCTTCCACCGCCCGACAATATCCCCAGTCGAGGTCAGCAGCTCTCCACCCGCACCGTACATGGTGTTGGCAAAGAACTGCTTCCCCTTCCTGAGGCGCCGGACGGTTTGCCAGAATCTCTTTGAGGCCGACCGATAGTCATGCTCCATGGACTCTCAAAAATCCTCCCAGTGCCCGCTTGCACGCTTGGCCTGCCGGTACTGGACAGCTGCCTCAGGAGTCCCATGAACCATCATGGCTCCATGGGACTCCTTCTTCAGCCTGACGGCATCCCTTACTGCTGGTGTCCACCACCGGGTGCGGGGGTTGCCGCCGGGACCAGCACCAGAGACCTTGCGACCACAGCTACAAGCTGCCGCAGCAGCCCTCCTTGGCTGGGACCTGGGAGAAGCTCTCCCGGAGGTGTGAGTTGAAAGTCCGTCTGACAGGGGGTTCAGCGAGACGTTCCCAGCAGACCCTCACTACACGCTTGGGTCTGCCAGGTCTGACCGGCCTCCTGCCCTGCCAGCGGATCCAACTCACAACCAGGTGGTGGTCGGTTGACAGCAGCACGGTGGCTGAGTGGATAGCACTCTCGCCTCTCAGCAAGAAGGTCCTGGGTTCGAATCCCGGTCGGACCAGGGCCTTTCTGAGTGGAGTTTGCATGTTCTCCCCGTGTCTGCGTAGGTTTCCTCCGGGTACTCCGGTTTCCCCTACCACTAAAAATATGTCCAATAGTTCTGGCATGCGCCTCCTGTACTGGCCCCGCTCCCATCTCTGTGTGGAGTGAGAGACAAATGCCCAAAATTAACAATTGTAAACCGCTTTGAGACTCAGATCTGCAGTGAAAAGGCGGTATATAAATAAAAACTTACTTACTTACTTACTTACAGCTCCGCCCCTCTTTTCACCCGAGTGTCCGAGACACGCGGTCGAAGGTCAGATGATACGACAACAAAGTCGATCATCGACCTCCGGCCTAGGGTGTCCTGGTGCCACGTGCACTGGTGGACACCCTTGTGCTCGAACATGGTGTTCGTGATGGACAAACTGTGACTGGCACAGAAGTCCAACAACTGAACACCGCTCGGGTTCAGATCAGGGGGTCCAAGGTCCTAGCTCTCTTTGAGTCACAACAGAGGCACTCGGAATAGACCCGCTGCTCCTGAATGTTAAGAGGAGCCAGTTCAGATTCAACCCGGAAACAGATAAAGCAGAAGAAAAAGGATGGATGGAATAATAGAGCGCAGAGCCACCTTTGGGTCATCAAAACTCACGGCCGTGGGTGAGGGTGTGGACGCTGATTGGCCGGTTGAATCCAGAGCTTTGACTGCAGACACTGCTCCTTCTTCTCCGCAACAGTCCGATACATCGACACCACTTTAGTTTCATATTTTGTCTTTTTTCACAGCATTTGAATAAATCTGGACAGGATAATGTGACAAACAGGGGCTGAATCTTCACTTTTAACTTAATTACAGCAAATATAGCCTCCACTTTATTTAATGCATACGTTTTATTGTGAAAAAAGGAACATATTTGCATTTACGGCTCTCAGAGATTATATGCATTCTCATCAGTTCGGACAGTGTAGCCTCCACCTCCAAAATTGGATTGAAAAAAGTTCTCAGAAAATGATGATTGCGGATAATGAAATATAAAGTTAAGAACGAATCCAAATATATATGATCTATATCAGTGTGCGTGCGGTTGTTTCAGCATGAGTTACTGTTAAAAGTATTGGGTTCTTCAAGACCAGAAAATTTAAGGTTTGGTGATGTTATTATCTTATTATCTTAAATTATTCCACAGAGATTTACAGTTAGTGGACTTTTTACACTTGTTGGTTATTGATTACAGAATGTTTACCCTTGGCCCTTCAGTTATCTAAACATATGCAGTAATTCCACCTTGTTCATCCATATTTATTGCGTTCACACAGAGGACATTTTCTTTCTGCCACAGACTGCTATCTTCATCCTATTATAGACAATGTTATCTTTATCATACACTTCAAAGATCCCTGTGTGTCACTATTTGACTTTCAATTTCACTTTTCTGACTGAAAAAATATATCTGAAGACGTGACAGAGGCCAATAATACATAAATGTGAAAACTAGTGAAAGATCTTCTCGATGTCTCTCTTTGGACTCTCTCACTTGTCTCTCTCTTTATCTATGGTCTCTCGCTGGTCTCTATCTCTCTAGGGTCTCTCTCTTTTCTCTCTGATATCTCTCTTTGGTCTCTCTCTGGTCTGTCTGACTCTATCTATGGTCTCGCTCTGGTCTCTCTTTGGTCTCTCTGTGGTCTGTCTGTCTATCTATGGTTTCTATCTAGTCTCTCTCTGCTCTGTCTGGTCTCTCTCTGGTCTGACTCTATCTATGGTCTCTCTCTGCTCTGTCTGTCTCAGTCTGGTCTCTCTCTTCTCACTGATCTCTCTCTCTCTCTCTGCGCTTTCTCTCTTGTCTCTCTGGTTGGTCTCTCTTTTTCACTATTCTGTCTGAAAAATCCGATCTGAAAAATGTGACAGACGCCAAAACTAGTGACGGGACAGGAGCAAACTGTTTTAAAAAAACTAAAGTCACATGGATAATATTAAGTATTATGTAAATTGAAAGTTAAGTACCCCAGCTTTAAATCACCACAACTTTCACATTTGTAACCAACTCACGTCTTACAAATATGGCTACAACTTCCACTGTCAATCTGTCAAAGTTCAAAAGTAGTTCTCGGTGGTCGCGCTTCCCCATTGGTGTGCGCGTATTGCTCATGTACGTTGCTCTCTGCTGATTGGCGCGCACCCGTACGCGCACAGTCGGGTGTACATCGCCGGTCTTTGTCAATAAATATATCCAGAAGCGACGTGACACTCGGTCAGGGTGCAGCAAAACCACTTCCAACTCCCACTCCTGCACCTGTGAACCCGGGTCGGTCGTTACCGTTCCTTCTTTTTTACGCACGGGTCCAAATGGAGGAGGCGCAGACGCAACGAAAGACCAGGAGGAGGAAAAGATGCTGCCTTATTTTAATACTGGTGATAGTTATTGTGGTGGTCCTTGCTGTCGTGTTGGGGCTTGGTCTGCATAAGGTTCCGGATGAGGATTTCAAAAGTACATTCATGTCCAAATGCGAGGAAAAAGAAGGGTGAGTGTGTGTGTGTGTGTGTGTGTCTCAGAATAACCTGTATCATTTTACATTTGTTTCTATTTGTGATTATGGGTCCGTGGATACGCTTTACCACCTCCTATATGTGCTGTTATGAGCACGTGCGTGAATCAATAGTAATAACAAGTAATAGTTAAAATTTCAAGTGGATTCACCAACAACAGATCAAAGAATCAAGCAGGACACAGGAAATGCAAAATATCAAAGACATATAGAAACCATTGGTCCATAGAGAGCGGGATGACCACTGTCTATAAATGTTAATAACAATCCTGGATAATCACAGTTCTTAGACCCTCCTGCATCAGAGAAAATCCACACCAAAAAACTGAGAAACCTTGGGGAGGCCCACATTGAGAGAGGGATCTGCTCCCACAGACAGACAGGCTGTAAAACGAGGACTGAGGAGGCTCCCAGGCGGGGAGGGGGGTGAAGGAAACTGTGATAGTTGCCTTATGTCGGCCATCCTCACTGGACTAAATGTGATCCGCTGGTTTGATATTGAAGGAGAAACATGGAACTATTACACAATCATTATTATTGTGGCTTCTAAACATATTTATTTTTCAGATACGACTGTGAGAAGACCTGGAGTACCTTCGAGCAGGCCTACGTGGGGAAGGATCCGTGTCAGGTGCCTCCGGAGTCGTACCAAGCTCTGATGGAGGTGGTCCCCATAAAACCTGCCTGTAACAGGGTAAAGACCGGTCCCTCTGCTCTGTCTACACTCAGGTGTCCTTTTACTAAACCTCAAATCACACTGACCAACTTAGATCTTGTTTTATCAATATAGAAATAGACAGACAGACGGGCAGATGGACAGACAGGCAGATGGACAGATAGACAGAAAGAATCAGAACCATTTTTATTTCCACGTAAGTAACAGGAAGTCACAGACTTGGAAATTGCTTTGGCTCAGTGCAACAGTCAGAGAGAGAGTTAAAGAGTAGAGAGGCATAATAAAAAAAGAAATAAAAAATAAGCAACACAAATAATTATTGCAATTACAATTACTATAAACAACATACAAGTACACATAGTGCACACATTATAAGGTGTCAGCAGTAAAGTAAAGTGACTTTATAAGGGGCAGTAAGGTGACTTCTAGAGGGCGGGGACAGGTTAAGAAGTGTTCAAGAGTCCAACAGCAGAGGGGAAGAAACTGTTCGGCGGGAGGTTCTAGTCCTGATGGACCGCAGCCTCCTGCCTGAGGGGAGTGGTTGGAATAGTCCATGTGCAGGGTGAGAGGGGTCGGCTGTGATACGACCAGCCCGGCCTCGAGCTCGGGCGACGTACAGGTCCTGCAGCGATGGAAGGCTGCGGCAGATCACTTCCTCTGCAGAGCGCACAATGCACTGTAGTCTCTGTTTGTCCCTGACTGTGGCTCCAGCGAACCACACGGTGATGGAGGAGGTGATGGAGGAGGTGATGGAGGAGGTGATGGAGGAGGTGATGGAGGAGGTGATGGAGGAGGTGATGGTGGAAGTGATGGTGGAGGTGATGGAGGAGGTGATGGAGGAGGTGATGGAGGAGGTGATGGTGGAGGTGATGGAGGAGGTGATGGAGGAGGTGATGGAGGAGGTGGTGGAGGAGGTGATGGTGGAGGTGATGGTGGAGGTGATGGAGGAGGTGGTAGAGGAGGTGATGGAGGAGGTGAGGAGGAGGAGGTGATGGAGGAGGTGATGAGGAGGTGATGAGGAGATGATGGGGGGAGGTGATGGAGGAGGTGATGGAGGAGGTGATGGAGGAGGTGAAGGAGGAGGTGATGGAGGAGGTGATGGAGGAGGTGATGGAGGAGGTGATGGTGGAGGTGATGGAGGAGGTGATGGAGGAGGTGATGGAGGAGGTGGTGGAGGAGGTGATGGTGGAGGTGATGGTGGAGGTGATGGAGGAGGTGGTAGAGGAGGTGATGGAGGAGGTGATGGAGGAGGAGGTGATGGAGGAGGTGATGAGGAGGTGATGAGGAGATGATGGGGGAGGTGATGGAGGAGGTGATGGAGGAGGTGATGGAGGAGGTGAAGGAGGAGGTGATGGAGGAGGTGATGGAGGAGGTGATGGAGGAGGTGATGAGGAGATGATGGGGGAGGTGATGGAGGAGGTGAAGGAGGAGGTGAGGGAGGAGGTGAAGGAGGAGGTGATGGAGGAGGTGATGGAGGAGGTGATGGGAGGAGGAGGTGAGGATGGACTCGATGATGGCCGTGTAGAACTGCAGCTTGGCTTTCCTGAGCTGCCGCAGGAAGTACATCCTCTGCTGGGCCTTCTTGATGAGGGAGCTGATGGTCGGCTCCCACTTGAGGTCCTGGGTGACGGTGGTGCCCAGGAAACGGAAGGACTCCACAGAGGTGATGGGGGAGTCCATCACGGAGGGTGGGGGCGGGGGGACAGTGCTCTTCCTGAAGTCCACAATCATCTCCACTGTCTTCTGGGCGTTCAGCTCCAGGTTGTTACCACTGCACCAGGACACCAGCCGGTCCACCTCCCTCCTGTAGGAGACACCAGGACACCAGCCGGTCCACCTCCTCCTGTAGGAGACACCAGGACACCAGCCGGTCCACCTCCCTCCTGTAGGAGACACCAGGACACCAGCCGGTCCACCTCCCTCCTGTAGGAGACACCAGGACACCAGCCGGTCCACCTCCCTCCTGTAGGAGACACCAGGACACCAGCCGGTCCACCTCCCTCCTGTAGGAGACACCAGGACACCAGCCAGTCCACCTCCCTCCTGTAGGAGACACCAGGACACCAGCCGGTCCACCTCCCTCCTGTAGGAGACACCAGGACACCAGCCGGTCCACCTCCTCCTGTAGGAGACACCAGGACACCAGCCAGTCCACCTCCCTCCTGTAGGAGACACCAGGACACCAGCCGGTCCACCTCCCTCCTGTAGGAGACACCGGGACACCAGCCGGTCCACCTCCCTCCTGTAGGAGACACCAGGACACCAGCCGGTCCACCTCCTCCTGTAGGAGACACCAGGACACCAGCCGGTCCACCTCCTCCTGTAGGAGACACCAGGACACCAGCCGGTCCACCTCCCTCCTGTAGGAGACACCAGGACACCAGCCGGTCCACCTCCTCCTGTAGGAGACACCAGGACACCAGCCGGTCCACCTCCTCCTGTAGGAGACACCAGGACACCAGCCGGTCCACCTCCCTCCTGTAGGCGGACTCATCGTTGTTGGAGATGAGTCCAATGAGGGTGGTGTCGTCCGCGAACTTGATCAGCTTCACAGAGTCGTGGCTGGAGGTGCAGTGGTTGGTGTACAGGGAGAAGAGCAGAGGAGAAAGAACACAGCCCTGTGGGGCTCCTGTATTTATAATCCGAGAGTCCGAGACATTCTTCCCCAGACGCACTCGCTGCTTCCTGTCCGTCAGGACAGACAGACAGAGAGACAAATTGTATCTTAACTTTTTTTACAATTTTAATTCCATGTGTGATTTCAATGTTTTTAGTTTTGTGTATAAACTGTGCTATACTAATAAACTTTCCTTGTCTTTCATGCCGTGTCTGCCATGAGACGATAATCTTACGGTGATCCTTCTGTTTGTGTTTCGTCAGATGATGTTCTGGAGCAAAACAAAGGATGTGGTCCATGACTTTACCACAAAGAATAAGTGTTACGTCACCATGGAGGACACGTTTGTGGGATCTCTGCTGGACGGCCTGACGTGGTGCAGCAAAGAGGGCAGCAAAGGTACACACACAGGCACCAGAGGGCAGCACAGGTACACACACAGGCACCAGAGGGCAGCACAGGTACACACACAGGCACCAGAGGGCAGCAAAGGTACACACACAGGCACCAGAGGGCAGCACAGGTACACACACAGGCACCAGAGGGCAGCACAGGTACACACACAGGCACCAGAGGGCAGCACAGGTACACACACAGGCACCAGCTGGTTCAGAAACACACAATGTCCACATGAGAATAATAATCCATAGATGTCATAGATCAGAAAATCTAGTGAAATGGCTTTCTGTAATCTGTGTGTTTTGACCATAATTTCTAGTCTGAATATAGTGGCTCCCCCTGTAGGGGAAAGCCAGCCCTTGTCAGACCTCTGAGTCTAAGCAGGGCAGGGCATGGTTAGTACTGTGATGGGAGACCTCTGGGAACAGCCACAGAAAGGCAACTGCCACTGTGTCCTTGGGCAAGACACTTCACCCACATTGCCTAGAATGAGTGCTCCTCTCGCTATTGCTAAGGGAACGCCCTGCTGCTCTCCGGAGGAAACTTTATTTGGGACGCTCGGTTTCCGCGATCCTATCCTTTTGGTCATGACCCAAAGCTCAAGACCAGAGGTTGTAAGTAAGTAAGTAAGTAAGTAAATTTTATTTATAGAGCACCTTTCACAGATAAAAATCACAAAGTGCTGTACAGGGTAAAAGCAAATAAGTAAATACAATAATAGTTGTAGATCACACTTTAATCAAAATGATTAACTGTAGACAAATATTTCCATTGAGCCCAAACATTGATGCTTGTGGTCTTTTCAGCAGCACATAGAAAACCACAGTTAAAGAAGCTATTCATCATATTCTAATATCCGTTTTATGCTAGTAACGTTTGTGAAATAGTTAAAAAGTTAGTGTTTTTACAGCTCAATCGTCAACAATGGTCTTTATTATTAATTCAATAAAATTATTTTTTATGAAACCCTAAATCACAGCAGTAGTTATCTCGGAGGACTTCAAAAAGATATCGATTCGCAAACACAGATCAGAGAATCAAACAGTTCAAACACAAGAAATTCAACAATAAAAACCACATGGAGCCATTGGTCCATAAGGAGCAGAGTGTTGATAAATGTGTTTGAATGTTAAATATCCTGGATCCTCACCTCTGTCCTTAGACCCTGTAGAAAAATCTTTAAAAACCCAGTGGGGGAAAAGTGAGACCCCTTGGGGAGGCACACGTTTATCATGATGTTTTAAGTGATATATTATATGACATGTTTGTGTGCGCTCTCAGTCGTACAGGGTTTAGTCAAAGCAAAGGAAGGTTTCTCACCCATCATCTGTACTTCTTAGCAGGTTTTCCTGACGTTTCGTCCTCAATTCAAAGGACTTCTTCAGGGAATGAATTCTCAGTTGGAGATTTATAACCTATGGGTGTGGTTAGCTACACCCTAATCCTGATACTAACTCATAACTCACTATTATATGACATGTTATAACAGTTTTGTGCTCATTCTGTGTTTCTGTGCAGACACCTTCACCTCCGGTTGTCCTGAGTGGTCCGACTGCGACAACAACCCGGTCCGCTCCTTTTGGAAGACGGCTTCAGCTTCAGTAAGTCTTCTTTTTTATGTTTTTTTCTTAATTGCAGCTTGTGGACTGAGATGTGGAGAAGTCAACCACAGCCAAGAGAGCGAGAATGAGGTTTTGTGTGTTTCCATGGAGACCTCTCTTCAGTCGCACCAGGACTCTCTCTGTGGGACTCTTTTATTTGCTTTATGGCACTGTTTCTTTGGACTGTTCACTTGAATATAGTTGAATAATTCTGCTAAAAATTTTGCTACAGAGAACTATTGATATAGAATATACGATAATGTTGATAGTTCTGCCGCTGGGACCATAAGAATTTAACAAAACACAACTCCGGTTTCCCCTACCACTAAAAACATGCACAATAGGTCAAATCCAGCCTGGTCGTACCACACCATAGTACAAATTACATTTCGTACTAAGGTCTTTAGGTGCTCCATTGACTCCGTGAACAGGTGGGAGGGGTTAACTTCTTTTGCAGATTGAAACCATTGGATCTGAGTTTACTGTGACGTATGTAATGAGCCCGAGTGAGTCGTTAGCATTTAACATTTAGCCTAGCTTTAGCCATCTCCTTTGCCGCTAACTGAGCCCGTGGGGAGTAACGCCACAATCTTTGCCAGCGATTACATTTGCTAAAGATTCCTCGCTTCAATTTCTTGATAGAACCAGACCGGAATACTTTACTATCGTATTCTTCGCCAAACTACTCCCTGCCCGTCCGACGCAAACTCTTGACGTCACCCACATCTAACTACAACACCCGCCTCCCTCGCTCTCTGATTGGTCGGATGGATATCAACCGATTGTAATCGCAAACACAGGGACCAGACCCAGACGTTACATGCAGGGAATCCTGCAGCTGCTGTAGTCCTGACCAAACCAGGCCCTAGTGGCATTTGCAGGATGGGTCAAATGCAGAGGTGGGACATGCCCAGAACGCCTCCCCAAATTAGCATCCAGGAGGCATCCCAAACATGGACATGCAGAAGTACAGTCGACAGTCTGTATGGTCAGCACAGATCTCAGCAGCAGGTCGTTTTAATTAAAATGTATCCTTTTTTTTTTCTTTTTTTTTTCTTTAACAACATACACTGTAATAATAATCATTCTGGTTTTATAAATGCATGAAAAACAAATCTTAAAAAGGTTTTTAATGTCTTTGCTTTGCTCTTTTGTCCAGCAGAGGGCGCCAAACAAACACATTCTCCCTCTGCAGACTTTAGGCCGTATTGACGATAGATACCTCTGAGATATTTAGATTTAATTAGGAAAGAAATGTAGAAAACATTATTAACCATACATGCATTTCTGTGGTTACAATGTGAAACAAACAAACAAAAACAACAATAACAATAATAAAAACTTTTTAGTACATTGTGAGAAAGTTGTTCCTACCCTGGATTTTTCTGACCCGATATTTGAAGAATGGCCGTAAATCTCTGATGAGTGAATCGTGGGAACAAACCCAGTGTTAAATGTATGTAATGTTTGTGGCTTTCTGCTCAAAACTTTTCTGAATTTCTCGCTGTCAGTTCGAGCCTCGAGGCAAAAGCCACATTTCCTGTTGAGAAGGAAACGCTTGAGAGCAGCGAGGGAAAGCACAGCTAACAAGGCCAAGTTATTATTATCATTATTGTTAGCATTAGCATTAGCCTTAGCATTGTTATATTATGACTGTAACTTTATTGTGTTACTCAGAAAGGCCCCTGTTTCGATCTTGATTCGAACCCAGAAACCGCACTAACAAAGTATTACTCACCACCGTCTATGGATATTAATAAATAGCTTAAAAATATGAAAATGTTTTCCCTGTTATTGTAAGGAAGGCTCTTGAATGCTAATATTTCTATGGCATTTTTTATTATTAGATTACAAAAAATGTCTCTGTTTGCAGTTTGCACAAGCCGCCTGCGGTAAAGTGTCCGTCATGTTGAACGGATCCATCGCCGCCCCCTTCAGTCCCGAAAGGTACAGAACCATCAACCACCTCTGAAATGACACTACACAATACCATTAAAACATATGGTAAAACCTTAGATTAGCCCTTACTAATTAACAGCTAATTAAGTGCTAATTAACATGGGAAAGCTTCAGTCAGTAGTTAGTTAGATGTTGAATGAGGTCATGTAGAATAAGGACCAATAATTGCTTAATCGATCCCAATTAAGAGCTAAATTAACCATAAATGATACACTTGATTAGATGCGACTTAGTGAGGGCGAAGCTAACGTGTGACCAAACATATCTATTCATATTTCAGTGTTTTGAAATGATCGGTAAATGTTAAAAACTCACAGGGAGCCAGTGGAGGGACCTTAACCCAGGGGTGATGTGCTCTCTTCTGTTTAAACCAATGAGATGTATCAATTATATTTACTTTCTTTCAGTATGTTTGCGAGTGTTGAGATCAAGAATTTAAACCCGGCCAAAGTACAGAAGCTGGAGGTTGTCCTGCTCACGGGAAACAAGATGTAAGCTGTTGTTTTTGCTCAGAAATGAATCAAAAATGTTCTTTCTATGTATTTTTTTATGACTCTAATGTTTTAAACGTCCTCAGATCAAGCTGCTCTAGTCCGTCTTTAAAAAACCTGCAGAGAGAGCTGCCCCAAGGCATCGCTTATGGCTGCAAAGAGGTTCCAGAGTAAGTAAAACATGGGCTAAAATAAAAGATTTCATTTTGTATGGTTTTTATGTTTGATATTTATTTGACCGGGACATTGCACCAAAAATGTTTTGTTCAGACCGGACACCATCCGAAGTCCAGCAGGTCTACAGTGTGCAAAGAATAGATACATAGAAAGGCAGAGTTAGCGTTTAAAATACAAGACAAGAAACCCTTATTTGTCGTTCAGCGCGGAAATGTCAATGTCATAGTTGCACAATACAGAAGAATGGAAGAAGAAAAAAGAGCACCTACTATTAAAGATAATAGATGGATAATAAAACCATAAAATAAAAAGATAATTAACTTCAAATGACGAGATGTGTAGCACTGGGTCGTAAGGATTTGTTCTACTTTTGCTCTATTTTGTTCTAACTTTCAATCCTCAAAACAATAGAGTATGGTCCATCCAACTCCCTGTAACTGCCAGACCATAAGGCACTAGTTTTTTGTAGTTCTTGAAACTCTTGAGGCCTGTGATGAGCTGCAGTCATGGTTTATGTTTTTATTTTGATAGAAAAAAAATGGACACAGCTCTATCCACTGTCTATGTTTATGTGAACAGCAGAAAGACGAATGCACAAAACACACTGGGCTTAGTTTATGTGATCAGGGCCATTGTCAGAGCAGAGTTTGTGGAAGTATTATTTTGTATCCCTCCATTTTAAAAACTGAATGAGTTTTTTTTATTTATATAAAGTGATTTTAACACAAACAGAAGCTGAATAACTTCAATTCAATTCATTCTTTATTAAGAACACAGAGAGAAACTGGTTCATAGATAAAAACAAAAAAACATTCGTATACAATACAAGTAAAAACAGGTGTCCAGGCAGGACCTCCAATTCCTCCATTTCAATTTGGAGAGACGAGAAAACAAGAAGCTTTTGAGTATTTTATTGGGAGGTGGTTTGGCGCCCTAGGCCCCGGTGCGGCCTTCAGATCGGAGAGGCTCCTGCGATGGAGCGCGCCAATCCCCCGGGACCTAGGCACTGGTGGCGGCATTTGGCAGCGGGAAGCAGATTGAAGGCAGATTGGAGGCAGGGTGAAGAGGAGGAGGAGGGGAGGCGGTGGTTGCAAGGCTTCGGGAGGCCGTGAAGTGGGAGTTTCTCCGCTTTTAAGCGGCTGCCTGGCCGGTACGGGTGATTGGAAGGGGGCGTTTGCTGTGCGATAGGCTGGGGATGTGAACCGGCCTGGAGGGGGTAACTTTGGCTGACGTCTACCAAATTGAATTTCCGCGGGCTGCATAAGTCAGAGGAGAACCTGACAGAGCTCCTCCGAGGACAGACCAGAGCTGGGATGATCTGATTTGACAGACTCACAGCTCTGCACATAAAAGAGTAAATACAATATCTGAGACAACACATGACCTCGCACCACAATTTACAAACATTTCACTGGTGCTACAAAACCTGGGCACTTTCAACAGGATCCTCAGAGAGTCATTATGAGCCACATTTAGACTCCGCATACTCTTTTTCTTATATCTACACCAGAGCTGTGCAGTATACAGGGGCAAACAGAAAGCCTTAAAAATATTAACTTGAACATCTCTAGAGCACATGTGAAACTTCCGAGCGAGCACATTAGCCTGGCCATAAAGTTTACACCGCTGTCGATACATGTCTCTGTCGTCAGAGAGGTCAGAGGTCATGTAGTGTCCAAGATACTTTACCTCCTCTTCTGTTTTTACGATCATAATTTGACGTTTAGAGGCATTGTACTTTATTTCGTGCTCTATGCCATATTGGGAACAGACATCTAACAGCTGCTATAGGCCTGCACTGTAAGGACACAGATATATAACAGCTGCTGTAGGCCTGCACTGTAAGGACACAGATATTTAACAGCTGCTATAGGCCTGCACTGTAAGGACATAGATATATAACAGCTGCTGTAGGCCTGCACTGTAAGGACACAGATATATAACAGCTGCTGTAGGCCTGCACTGTAAGGACACAGATATTTAACAGCTGCTGTAGGCCTGCACTGTAAGGACACGCAGTAGATTTTTGTTTGGCACCGTCGCTAAACTCACAAACTGCCATAGCGCAATCGAGCCTAAAATTCCAAGCTCACTGAGCAGTGTCGACTTTCTCCACTTCTTTAATAATAAAATTACATCCATCCGTGACAAGCTGGAGGAGGTTGCTCCTGCTGTTAGTGGTGGACAGGTTGAAGCGGCATACGTGACTTCCCACTTAGACTCTTCAGTGGGCCTTGATAAATTCATGGCTGTGAGCCAAGCAGAGGTGATCTCTGTGGTCACATCCTCAAAAGCCTAACTTGCATGTTAGACGCAGTCCCGACATGGCTCTTCAAAGACATACTTCCTTTGATAATTGAGCCTATCGTAAATATAATAAACGCATCCATACAATGTGGCTATGTCCCACAAGCTTTTAAAACCGCGGTAATCAAACCCCTTCTGAAGAAAACAAACCTGGACCCAGAAATACTTACAAACTACAGACCGATCTCAAACCTCACTTTTATATCTAAAATCCTGGAAAAACTTATAGCTGAGCAGCTCCGCTGCCACCTGCAGGAAAATAATATGTTTGAAGTCTTTCAATCTGGATTCAGAGCTCATCATAGCACTGAAACGGCACTAGTCAAAGTCACAAATGACTTACTACTAGCTGCCGATAATGGACAAGTGTCAGTGCTGGTCCTACTGGACCTTAGTGCTGCATTTGACACAATAGACCACAGCATTCTACTGCAGAGGCTAGAATGTGATATAGGTCTTAGAGGAACAGCCCTTGGCTGGTTTAAATCCTATTTATCAGATCGATATCACTTCGTCAATGTGAATCAGGACTCGTCGCCTTATTCTGGAGTGGAATTCGGTGTGCCGCAGGGTTCGGTACTCGGACCGATTCTTTTTACTCTCTACATGCTGCCACTGGGAAACATTATTAAAAAGCATGGAATTAATTTCCACTGCTATGCAGATGACACACAGCTTTATCTGTCGATGAAGCCTAAACAGACAGATCAGCTAGAAAAGCTCAGTGCCTGCATAAAGGACCTTAAAATGTGGATGACTCTTAACTTCCTACTTCTCAACCCGGAGAAGACAGAAGTGATCCTACTCGGTCCGAAGCGCCTGCGTGACTCCCTCACTAACCAGATGGTTACTCTCGATAATGTCAGTATAATACCCAGTAACACTGTGAGGAATCTTGGAGTCATTTTTGACCAAGAACTCTCCTTCAAGGCTTATATAAGCCAAGCAACTAAACGGCGTACTTCCACTTACGGAACATCGCTAAAATTAGGAATTTCCTTCCTAAAAGTGACGCGGAAAAACTCATTCACGCGTTTGTCACCTCAAGGCTCGACTACTGTAACGCTTTACTGGCAGCGTGCCCTAAAGCCTCTTTGAAGAGCTTCCAGCTCGTTCAGAATACAGCAGCTAGGATCTTAACAGGTACCAAAAGGAGGGAGCACATAACTCCGGTGTTAAAATCACTCCACTGGCTCCCTGTGGAGTACAGAATAAAGTTTAAAATCCTTCTCTTAACATATAAAGCCATAAATGGCTTGGCTCCCTCTTATCTCCAAGACACGTTAGTGTCGTATCAACCAGGTCGAGCGTTGCGCTCACAAAACGCCAGACGTCTGGTGGTCCCTAAGGTCTCAAAGGTCACTGTTGGTGGCAGAGCATTTAGCTACCAAGCTCCTTTACTGTGGAATCAGCTTCCCATTTATGTTAAGGAAGCAGATACGGTCTCCACATTCAAGGCCAGGCTTAAAGCACTTTACTTTAATTTAGCATATAATTAGGTAATATATAATATGTAGTGTATATATTATATATATATGCTGTATTATGTTATATATTATGTTATATATTATTCAATAATGTATTGTGTTATGTTGTATATTATGTTATATATTATGCTGTATGTTATTCTTTATTCAAGGCTAGGTTTAAAACAGTCCTCTTTAGTTTAGCATATGGCTAGGAAGGTAAGACTCGGAGAAGGTTAAACTCCTCAGAGTGTCAGTCAAGCTGCATAGGGAGTCAGTTTTCTGGGAGAAGTATGGTAACTTGAGCACTATCCTCTCCTCCTTCCTACTTTATCTGTTTAGCATTTTTAGGATTCTGACTGTAGTTTGTTCATTGCTATTCACCCGTTGTCCCATTGTCTTTTTCATGGTACGATGACGGGATCTCTGAGCCTGGCCTCTTCCATCTACACCTGCGGACTGCCCCGCCCGACCCGCCTGGGAGTGCTTCGGTCCTGCACCGGACCTGTCCACGTTCAGCGGCCACTGGTCCACGTTCTGTAGCTAGCTTAGGTCCTAGATCATTAGCCTGTCCGTCCGGAGGAGCGGATCCCTTTCTCATATGGGTCTCCCTCCCTGTGGGTTTCCCTAGTTCTCCTCCAAGGTTTCTCACGTTTTCCCACTGGGTTTTTTAAGAGTTTTTCCTTGTCGATGCAGGAGGGTCTTGTTGGACAGTTAGTGTCCAACAGAAAGGATTGGTGATGATCAGGACACTTTAGCATTCTACAACATGTATGGACATTTTCTTCTGTGTGTGCTTTATACTGTATTCTTCATGTGTTTTAACTGTTGATTCTCTGACCTGTGTTGGTGATTTCAATGGTTTTGTAAAGTCCTCTGAGATGACTTCTGTTGTGACCTAGGGCTATACAAGAATAAATTGTATTGTATTGTGTAATTGTAAGGACACAGATATTTAACAGCTGCTGTAGGCCTGCACTGTAAGGACACAGATATTTAACAGCTGCTGTAGGCCTGCACTGTAAGGACATAGATATATAACAGCTGCTGTAGGCCTGCGCTGTAAGGACATAGATATCTAACAGCTGCTGTAGGCCTGCACTGTAAGGACACAGCAGTACAGACATCTGCATACATTAAATGGTTCCACAGGTGACTGCCAACCACACATCCCGTTTTACACGGATTTAGCTGCAGAGACAGGTCATCAATATAGACATTAAACAGAAGAGGAGACAAAATTTCCCCCCTGACGCACCCCATTGTTAACCCTGAATAGGTCAGAAGTGGAATCGCCCCATCTGACCTGCATGGACCGGCAGGAGCACCAGAATGCAAGTATCCTTATGAGGAAATCTGGAACACCTCGATCTACCAATTCTTTCAACAATGTTCCATGGTTGACTCGATCAAACGCTTTTGATGCGTCCACAAAACACATGAACAGAGTTGATCCCTGAGAGTTATATTTGCAACTGAAAGTGTTTTTAAGTCCTGTTTCTTTCTTTCTGCAGGTCACGGATCGAGGAATGTGCCTTGCAGCCAGACCTGCCCTGTGGCTCGTGTTGGTGATGTGTCCAAAGACGTGACTGTGAGGGCAAACATGTCATAATGAAAATACGTCTTATTTGGAATAGAACATTCCCAAAACATTTTTTACAGACGGCTGCACAGTCAATAAAAATAGTCGTTATAACATGACATTTAAAAAAACTATGAGCCTCTGAAGATCTTAGAAGGCTCATAGGAGGTTAAAAAAGAACTTAAATAAAAAAGAGCTTTAAAAGTAATCAGTAAAATAATGAAATCAATGTTAAAACGCACAAGGAGACAGTTTAGACAGACTCTAAATCAGGGGTGATGTGCTCCCTTCTGTTAAAACTGCGGGACATATTGGCTTTAATTGCTGTTATCAAGAAACTAAAACATACATTTATCACTTACAACTCAAGGATTTCTTTTATTTCAGACTTTTTCTACATTCTCACCATGAACTGACATTGCACCACACGCAAACAAGTGGATTCTTCATCAATAATGTGAATTTATTTTTTTAGTATGGGTAAAATGGGAAATATGTATTTTTAATGTGTGAAATTCAGTCTGCTGCTGTATGTTTTTACTGTCATTATCAAAATACCACATTTACGGAATATATTTTAATAAATATACACATGGAGACAAATGTGTTTTCATTGTGGGGGACTCGCTATTTACCTTCGCCGAGGGGTCATGTATTCACCAGGTTTGTTTGTAGTCTTTCTGTTAGCAACATAAGTCAAAACGTTTATGACCTTTTCAGGAAAACCTCAGAAATGGGACAAGGATTGAAATCAGATTTTGGAGATGGTTACTATTATTAGAAAGAATATAACTGGGCTTCTTGATGATCTGCACTTATTTTGAAACTTTAAATTATTACTATATTAAAATCAGTCTTTGGGGTCTCGCAATTTCTTTCCTTTCTTTTTCCCTGCCTGAAAAGCTTTGGATCAAGTGTGTTTTTCTTTAATGGTATTAAAAGATAGATATAAAGCAGGGTTTTCTACTTCCGCATGGATCATCAAGACTATTGGAAAGGCAAGGCAAGTTTATTTTTATTTATAGCACAGATCCTACACAAGGCAACTCCAAGTGCTGAACAAAACCAGACAAAAACCAACCACACAAGACGATAACATCAATCATCACAGAACATGTAGTCGTCTGCACATGTAGCTCTGTTATCACCTCCTCTATCAGGGGGTAATGTCATCACCAGGGTTTGTTTGTCTGTGTAGGTTAGCAAGACACCTCCAAAAATATACAGCACAGACCAAAAGTTTGGACACACCTACTCATTCAAAGAGTTTTTTTTATTTTGATGATCATGGAAATTGTAGATTCACACTGAAGCATCCAAACTATGAATGAACTCATGTGAATTATGTACGTACTAAAAAAGAAGTATGAACCAAGTGTAAATATGTGTTATATTCTGGTTCTTCAAAGTAGCTCCTTTTGCTCTGAGTATCAGCAGAATGCTTCACTCTTGGTATTCTCTGGATAAGCTTCAAGAGGACCTGAAATGGTCTTCAACAGTCTTGAAGGAGTTCCCATGATGCTTAGCACTTGTTGGCCCCTTCACTCTGTGGTCCAGCCCCAAAACCATCTGGACTGGGTTCAGGTCCAAAACCATCTGGACTGGGTTCAGGTCCAAAACCATCTGGACTGGGTTCAGGTCCAATACCATCTGGACTGGGTTCAGGTCCAAAACCATCTGGACTGGGTTCAGGTCCGGTGACTGTGGAGGTCATGTGGCCCAGCACCATCTCTCTCCTTATTGGTCAAACAGCCCTTACACAGCCTGGTGCGGGTCTACAGCAATAGTCATGAAAAGAACTCAGTGAAGGAGAGAGGGTGTCCAAACTTTTGTTCTATGCTGTACATGGCAGATTTGGTCAGTGAAGCTGGGAAACAGGACGAGGAACGAAAGAGTTTGGAGGTGACGAATTCTCTTCAAGGAATTGAGTCTTTTTATGGAGGTGTGCCAATGTTTTTCTCATAACACACACACTCTGTTTGACACACACACTCTGTTTGACACACACACTCTCTTTGACACACACTCTCTGTTTGACACACTTCTGCAGATTTTGCTGATCGTCTCATTTCCAGCTCAGACGTGTTTCAGTTTCACTTCTCTCTGCACTAAAACTATGACCTCATGTGAATCTCTCGCCGTATTTGCCGCATTATTCCCGTCATGTTTGCGCCGCTGCGTCACCACTGACCGTAACCCTCGGCTCTAATGCAACAGTACATGTTATAATTATGTATCGAGAAAAAACAAAAAGGCCCTTTGTTTCCGTAGCAACAAATCCGAGAAGCAGCATCAGTCGTGTTTTGAGTAAACACAAATGCACCACAAGCAGAAACACAAACTGGAATTACACACACACTATAATTATACATATGTACAGATTAATGAGACTTTGGGGACGGTGATAGCGTTCAAAATATGTTTAAAATATTGAAATAACTAATGTTTCTCTTCAGATTTTGTTACAGACAAGTAGAATAGAAGATAGAAAGAAGAATACAGTTTGTCAGTCAATAATAAAGTTTTATATTTTATTTAAGTGTTTTATTATTACTATTATTGCTTTTTAGAATGATAAATATATTTGTTTTGTTGGTCCGAATGGATGTGTTTTTGCTGCTCCTGGAAACCTGAAGTTCTCCTACGGGATCAATAAAGTATCAATCTTTCTTTAGAATCAGAATCAATGTTTTGACATTTGCACACAAAAAACTGCATCGGAATACAAGCAAGAGACACCGGGGGCACCAACACCACAAAGCACACTCTCACATACACACACACACACACACTCTCACACACACATGATAAAAATATCAAAACAAGACACAGTGAGGCACATATAAAACTCTTAAAAGCAGGATTGAGAAACTATGAAAGAGTTACAAAGAGAAGCACATCTCTGTTAGTGCCATGAACCAACAGGGACTCTGAGGAGCACAGGGACTGGCCTCCTGCTGGGACTCTGAGGAGCACAGGGACTGGCCTCCTGCTGGGACTCTGAGGAGCACAGGGACTGGCCTCCTGCTGGGACTCTGAGGAGCACAGGGACTGGCCTCCTGCTGGGACTCTGAGGAGCACAGGGACTGGCCTCCTGCTGGGACTCTGAGGAGCACAGGGACTGGGCTCCTTGCATTCTGTCGTTATAGAATTTTCTTTTCTTGCATTTGTGTCCTCGGCGTGTCTGTGTGTGTATGTACAGTGTGTGTGTCTGTGTGTGTATGTGCAGTGTGTGTGTCTGTGTGTGTATGTACAGTGTGTGTGTCTGTGTGTATGTACAGTGTGTGTGTCTCTGTGTGTCTATGTGCATGTGTGTGGTTTTTTATGCTTGTTTAATTGAACCATTAATATAAACCTTGTATTCTTAGCGTTGGTTCGTTTCCTCCATAGATCTGACTCGTAACATGAGCTTCTTGTGCTTCCTGTTTCACACACACACACATGTAAATACAGATATGACATCACACACAAGGCACAGTCATCGCAAGAGTTGATGTCAGGCCGATTCAAATGTATTCCTCAATGTACAGTGTGTGTGCGTGTGTGCGTGTGTGCGTGTGTGTGCGTGTGTGTGCGTGTGTGTGCGTGTGTGTGTGTGTGTGATGCAGGATGTGAAGCAGCTGTGTCCCCGTGAGAACCTGAGTAGGAGGTCACAGTGTTGTAAATCCAGCTGAAGCCACAAAAAGGTGGAAATTCAGCCAAAAACACAACATTTCAGATTATTTTTTCATGGGAGGGGGCAAATCTTTTACATTTTTATTTTTTTAACCACCAATTTTACCAAATTTTTCCAAGGCATTTATTTTGCCCAGGTTTAAACATTCCTTCATCAACATGAGCTTATATCGTCCTGCGTCCCTGAGAAAACACACTATCTCACTCCTAGTATAATGTAGTATAATTTAAATACATATATGGCCGGATTATAAGTAGATAAAGTGACATTCTGAGATGGCAGTATTTGCGATATACAGGTGAGATGACTCGTTGTACAGTCTGACAGCAGCGGTGAAGGAAGGACCTGCCGCACCGCTCCTTCACACAGCGGGGGTGGATAAGTCTGTCGCTGAAAATGACAGTAAAGATGTAAGCAGCCCATTTGCAAACACGTACAATCGCCATTTTAGAATATTTGAATAAGAGTTAAAAATGTGCCTTTACCAAATCTATTTCCATCTATTTTAGCGGCACGCAAAAAAATTTTACCGCCAATAACAAAACATGAAGAGGATTTGTAACTAGAGGAAGGCCATATTTTAAACAACAACTCTTGACTAAAATAAAATAATATCTATATCTTTTGCATAATAAATCAGCAATCTTAAATCTCCAACTTTAGCAAAATATAGACAATTTTGTATGCTAAACTACAAAATCTCGGACTTTAGTGTAAAAAAAAAAGTGATAATGTGAATCACCCAAATATGAATTTTTATTTGTGTAACTATTTGTTTGTACTTTAGAGATAATTAGCTTATATTTGGTAAAGGTAGTCTTATTTAAATTTAGTGAGTACAGAGAAAGTATTGTAGGAACTGTTGTCATTGTCAGATGTAGTACAGGGACCGAATTGACCGTGACCCTCAGACACAATCTGGAAGTGTAACGATTGCTGAGTCATTCCTTAAGTTATCTGTTTTTTGCAAATGAACTCTTGGTGCGCTAATATAATTGTACATAGAGAAGCAGGAGACAGAAAAATCACCACAAAAACACACACACATCTTATTCCAGGAAATGATGGTAACGTTGCCAAAAGTGACCAATGGCCTCGACCTCAAACAGTCATGTGACCTGAGACTGAGTGGTTCTGAAGCTGCTGGAACATGACGTGGATTCCCCTTCACAGCCTCTTCCTTGAATCGAGATTCTTGCACAATTTCTGCAGCCGCTGCTCAGATCTTTACCGGTGATAGGCTCAAAAACAGACTTTCCTAGACCTCTTTTGCATATTGTGAATTCATTCTGCAGGTTCGAGGGTTTGTCACTG